AACTTATATTCTGGGCAAGTTGCTAAAAATTTGATGTCTGAAATTATTGTGAAGTAACTGGTCAATCTTGTAAGTATACTTGTCGATCAAGTAATATACAAATAAAGAGTTGGTGTATCGATCCCAAAAGGATAGTTGTTAAAATATTTCTAACAGTGGAACTTCTAATTTATTGAACCACTGAATTTAGTTTGAAGTGATGACGAATGAAAATCCTAATAGTTCTAAAAGAGCAGTAATCATAAATATTAGTAAACAAAAATAGCTGTAACAGAAATGCATGAAACAACTTTGAGTCCTTCAGAGGTGATGGGGCTCGTGCTCTTGTGACAGCGATATATTCTTTTTATGTTTTCTCAATGAGTTTCCTTAAGTTATAGCAAACAACCAGGGACAATCTTTCTTAGCCTTTATTTAGGTTATAAGAAAAGTTGAAATCATATTATTGTTAAGAGGGACTTAATTATACAACTTTCTTTAGATTCCTTAGATTTATCTAGGTTGCAATTTTCTAATGGCAATATGTCTATTCTACTAGGCTATTGTGTGTTCCACTTGTTTTTCTAGGCGATGGTTAGAAGTCCAAGGTCACAGAGAATTTTAATATTACTATCTGTTCACAGATTTGAAGTAAATTAAGACCGGAAAGTTAAAACATCAAAATATGAAATTTAAAGACAAGAAAAATATTTATGAGAAAAGAATCAAAGGAGCATAAATCAGATTTGACTACGAGCCATTAAGTAGAAAAATAGAAAAGTTATCATTGAAAATATTGAAGAAATAAGTGCAGGAAATTACCAACTTACAACAAAACCAAGTTCTCTCCATAATGCTCTAATTTCTCACCATATAATGAAATTCACTCCACAATCTCCCTCACACAATGACGCTTAATCTCTCTCACACGCAAAACTCCCAAAATTCGAAGCAAAAAGTACAGTAGAAGCTCCCTCTCCAAAGGAGGAAAGAAGAGAACCCTAGGGTTTAAAGTTAAACTCAATTTCTGCCAAAAGAATCAGCTCTAAGTTTGCACACCCCCTTTAGGGCACCCAAAGCATCTCCTTATATGTAACTTGCCAAATTCGACACGCAAAAAGATGCCAAATTAATCATGGTCGGGCTACGATGTTGCTATGCTCATGACTGGCGTAATTACGTTGTTGGTCGACGTAACTAGCTTAGGCCTGGTGTAATTATGTAGGACCAACAATAAGAATAGTCTAATTACGTCGTAGAATGACATTATTATGCCAACATAACATTCTTACCTGCTTTGAGTTTTGGCTCTACATCACGTCGTCAACTCCTGTTACCTGCAAATTACCACCAAGAAACCATTCATATGCGTAAAATCATAATAAATGGGAAAGAAAATATGGTATTTAAAATAGAGAAATCACGTAAATTTACATAGTATCACTTTTAACATCACCAAAACTGATCCCATCAGTGCCTTTCTCATGGCATGAGCATCTAGGACTGTCAAAACGACTCATTCACAAACAACTCATGCTCGACTCGTTAAGAAGCTCGAGACTCGATTTGTTCACTAAGTTTACGAGCCGAACACAAACACTTTTTTGTGTTTGATACATGAACGAGCCGAACACGAACAAATATTTTTTCATTCATGTTCGACCTAATTTGGCTCAAAATACTACTCATCAATTATATATATATATATATATTGATGAGTAATCATTTTAAAAAAATTAATTGACTACAAGGCTAAAATGGTTTATAATCAATTAAATTTATTAATTAAAAAAATAAAAATATATTAAATTATATTTAAATGATGTTTTAATATAAACAAAGATTTAAATCTTATTCCAACCCTTAACATCCTATGACTGTGTGATTAGGGTTTTCAAAACGACTCTTTGTTCGTGAACAACTCTTGTTCGGCTTGCTAAGAAAATGAGTTGAACACAAACACACTGTTTGTGTTCAAAATATAAATATAAACAAGCTGAACATGAACAATGATATTTTTTAATGAGCCGAACAAGAGCTATGTCTGGGCTCGTTCGTGTTCTACTCGTTTACACTCTTATGAGCATCTATAACTCTGAACTTTGCAAAAGGTAGATTTATGCTCTTTTTGTCAGGTTGAGTTTTGTGATCAAACTGTTACGGTTCCCCCAACAGAATTTGATAGGCATCCATGATACAACATCATACTACACATGGTCTTGCAACCGATTGTAATTAAAATACTACGAGGCATCTCCTGTCAATGCTAACCTTGTTCCCCTTCAACCAAGTCAAAAAATATGGCTAGTAATGTCTCTAAGTAGTGAGACACAACTCATCCACCATTATGTGGACATCACTTCTTACAACTACCTCCATCGAGGATAAGATAGCACACCTTTTTCATCACTGTGCAACATATATAAAAGATGTGGTGAAGTCACTGTGCTCTCTCATAGTCTTAGTTTGAAGGATTTATAAAACCACAAACATCTCGCCCTCATCAGCTGGAAGTTGACATTCTTCTACCACATTTTCTTCTGTCTCCAGTACCACTGGAGTCTTTTTTCTATTGCTCACTGCTTAGTGAAAGAAACAACTCTGGTAGTAGGGCAACTAGAGATGATGTGTCCAATCACCCATGACATTTGATACACTTTCTTGTGGGCATTGTGTTAGGTGTATTGTTCCTCTCAAGCTTCTTCCCACTCTGATCTACTATCATTTTTCTGGACAATTCATACATTCCTCGGGTATATTGCTGGCTCACTATGGATGACTATCTAAATGAAGGCGAGGTCCCGATCTGCTACTTCTATTTCTCCACTTTCAGGGCCAATGCTTGAACATCATTCAATGACCAGCAGGACTGCAGCTGAACGACATGGTTGATGGCCGACTTCAGACCTCCTAAATACCTGGCTATGGTCTTCTACTCTGGCTCCCTGAACTCACATTTCAGCATGAGCTGTTCAAACTTCTTTATGAATTCCTCTACTAAGAACACCTCTGATATAAGTGATGTATCCTCAAAAACATATCCAAGAGGTAGTGTGGAGGTAGATACTTTCTCTGCATTTCCTTCTCTTTCTCAAGTATGATATTGTTCCTATCTTCTCTCTATCTCATTCTCTTTTGATTTTCCTACCACAAAGAGACGATTTTCTTCAGCTTTATGGCAGCAAGTTTACCCATCTATCAGCAGGTTATCCTTATACTCAAAAATTGCTTCAATAGTCTGCAATCAATGAATGAATTTATCCAAATTCATTTTCCCATTGAAATTCGGTAAGTCTACTTTCACCCCCATGTTCCATTTCCTCCAAAAGTCACTCTATCTCTCGACCTCCTCTGATACTGACTCCTAAAGCACCGTAGCCTTTCTCCTCTTTGTTGGAATCATTCGTAGGGATGGGATTTAAAATTTCCTCCCTCTCCTAATTCAAATCTCACTATCACAATCGATGGTGATCTCTCCATGGATCTCTTACTCAATTTCAGTAAGTTTTTGTTGAAATCGGTGAATTTTCTACTACATCTCTTCCATTGTAAGTTATCGCTCTTCTAAGTGGCACGGCTAGGGTTTAGGTTTGAGAGGTGAAAAAGGGCGTATAGGACTGATTTAGGGTACAAAAATAATTAGGGTTGCTGATTTTCATAATCATCAAGGGATAATTTGGCTTAGGTCAAGATTTGGGTATGGTTTAGTGGGTTTAGGTCATCTTAGGATGGAATTAGGGTGGGTTAGCTCTAATATCAAGTGATACTGAAATCAATATGGAAATAAGATGAGAAGAAACACAACACAACAACAAGTAATTTAATAGAAGTTGGGATTTAAAAATACAACAAACTGAAAATAAATAATAATGAGAAATATTAGGGAATATGGTGGAATTAGGGTTTGGACCTTTTGAGTGGTGGCAAGTAGACGACCAACAAGCTGGATACAACGAGACAGTTGTTTTTATGAGTTTGGACAGCAAGCAAGCAGCAGGACCAGCTACGCGTGTGCTGTCCGAGGCACTGGTAGCAAGGATGCGGGCCAGAACTGTCGTGGGGCTGGAGGTTCAGGGTGTTGGAATGACAAGCATGTACTTCCGCCGAGAGGTTGTTATGGGTGACAACAATGAGGAAGGGGATTACAACAAAAAAGTTGTTGTTCCTGGGTGGCCGCAATAAGTTGTCCGCAATAAGTTGGATGCTGAGAAAAATAAGTTTCTTGTTTTTTAGGAGGCGGGAGCAGGCAAAAAATTAATGGGATGTGGGAACGATTCAGGAAAGGATGGGTGAAAGGTATAAGAAGGATAAACATCACCTGGAGATCAAGGTATAGTCAAAGCACCACTTGAAATCCTAGGATATAAGCCCTTGAAAAAAAAAGGAGTCGACGGCTCTGTAAACTCAAATCAATCAAAAACTAAACCCTAAACATCAAAGAAATACTTAAATAAACCTATTAATATTAGGAGCGGGCCCCACTCCAATTTGGCGGCAACCCTAGGCTTAGATAGGGTCGACCAACCCTCCCTCAACTTGGACTGAATCAAAGGGTCTCGCCTAACCCCCAGAGTCACTCATTCAGCAGCCTCGCTGCATATCTTTAGACAGTTTCTTTTATCAACCCATTTTATTTGGATGCGGCGAAGGTTCAAAGGCTTGGAGCTGTCTGTTTGGCATCACTTTCAAATTTTTTTTATATTGTCTTGCATATGTTTATACTTGAAATTAAATATGTTTGGTATGTTATAATATGTTTTGCTATTTTTAAAAACACTCAGAGTAATTATTAGATATTTTGAATATTTTTAATAAGAAACTAATTTGTTTTTGAAAAAAAATTAAAAATATGCAAAAAAAATGAACTAAACGAATATGTTTTTAAAATAAAAGCGAAAGCAAAAAATGAAAAATAGAAGAGATCCCAATTAAGCTTCGAGTATTTTAGCAGCATGTTATTTCATCATGCTTGTTTCCATCAATCAATTTAAAGGTCTATTTGCCATGCTATTAATAATCAGGGCCCTACTATTGGTGATGTTGATGGTGATGGTCACACTGATGTGGTGATACCGACAGTATCTGGAAACATATATGTCCTCAGTGGGAGAGATGGTTCATTTGTCCGCCCCTTCCCTTATAGAACCGGCGGTAGGGTGATGAATCGAGTTCTTCTAGTTGACCTAAGCAAACATGGTGAAAATAAGAAGGGGTTAACTCTAGTTACTCCTTCATTTGATGGTTATCTTTACTTAATTGATGGATCATCTGCTTGCGCTGATGTTGTGGACATTGGGGAGACAGTGTAAGCTTATATTATCTTTCACCCGTTCCCTAATTGCTTGTCAAAGCTTGAATTTCATATCCTTGCTACTAACCTTCCATTAATTTCAGGTATAGCATGGTCTTGGCAGATAATGTTGATGGTGGAGATGATCTGGACCTTATTGTTTCTACAATGAATGGCAATGTTTTTTGCTTTTCTACCACATCACCACACCATCCTCTAAAGGTAGATGGATTAACTTCCATTGTTCTTCATAGGCCTTCCTGATTATGTCATTCTACCGTAGATTATAATGCTTAATGACTCATTGAAATTAAAATCCTTGAATCAAACATGAATATAATTTTTGATTTGACATCTCTCCTTGGATAGACTGTGTTAGCGTTGATTTATTTGTCCTGTCGTTAAATGCATTGGTATATTCTTCCAGGGATGGAGATCATCCAACCAAGGAAGAAACAATCCAGGAATTCGCTACAACCGCGAAGGAATCTACGCATCACATGCTTCCAGAAGTTTTCGCGATGAAGAGGGAAAACATTTTTGGGTTGAGTTTGAGATAATCGATAAATACAGGGTTCCATCTGGGTTTCAGGGACCCTATAACGTCACAGTAAGTTTCTTGTCACGTTTCCTTCAATCCAATATATTTAGAGGCATTTAGATACATTACCCTTAATTCCTATGTATTTAAATATCTAACACCTAAAATTTACTTGTTCCATTTATACCACCAAAAGCTTTCATAGCACAAAAAATACCATTATTTTGGCTTTTAGATTGTGAAATACACCAGGTGGGGTATATGTTATCAGATATGTATTTACATAGGAATTGAGTGGTATGCATGTAAATATTCCATGTATTTATTATTCAGGAACATTAAGGCCTTTCTCTTCTTGCATGACAAACATGCAGATAAATTTGTTAGTGCCTGGAAACTATCAAGGTGAGAGAAGAATTGTTCTTAACCAAGTATACAACGAACCAGGAAAGCAGCAGATTAAGCTGCCGACGGTGCCGGTTCGAACCACGGGAACTGTGCTGGTAGAGATGGTTGATAGGAACGGCATTTATTTTTCGGACGAGTTCTCTCTTACCTTCCACATGCATTACTACAAATTACTGAAGTGGCTTCTGTTCCTTCCATTGCTTGGAATGTTTGGTTTACTTGTTATTCTCCGGCCCCAGGAAGGTGCACCATTGCCATCTTATTCACGGAATAGAGACTAGAATTCATTTTACAAATTTCGGTTATTTTAGGAAATTTAAAGTTTTTGTTCGCAAAAGGCTTCTTTAGCCGTTTTTATTTTTCGGTTGGCTGGATTAAGTGAATATTGAAGTTTTAGAAAGGAAAAACTTGTTATATGTTGAGTTCTCTTATTGTCTATTGTCTGAAATGCAGTTAGAATCAAAGGCTTGTTATGCATGGTTTTGATGACCGAATGATTGAAATGTTGGAATCAGTAACAGATTTTTTTATTGCATCTCTTTTATAATTATAGCCCGAATGTATTTTACTTGACAGGTAAATAAATCTTTAAATCCGCACTAAAGTTTCGTAAGCTTTTTTTGTTGTATAATAATATGGAATAGATTAAACTGAAATGAGGCTTTTTTTCATTGGAAGTAATTTTCGTATAATTATCTTTATTGTTAAAGCTAACATTTCAATTGAAATTTTTGTTTACTGTTTGATATGTTGAGTTCGCGTAATGTTTTTGCCCCAATTATGTTTTCAATTGGAGAGGAGAAATTTACATTTAGTAATTGTTGGATTGAACATTATATAAATGTTACACCATTCTTGTATGTTTTAATATGAAATAAAGAGATTGGGGATTAAATTTGTATATTTATCAATAAAAAGTATAAAATAACTCATAAAAATTAAGGTGATTCATTTGACAATTATCTTTATGCATATAACACAAATTTTCGTATTTAAATGCATATCACTTAAATCCTTAATGCTACATAAAAAATATTACTAATAAAAAGTAAGAGACATTTTTTTCATGCATGTGCGTAATTAAGGTGGTGCTAAAATTTTTTTAATGGGAGTACAAAATAATGGTTTTAGAAGTAATATTTACTCCTTTTATTCAGAGTTGAGATTAATATTAATAATTTTTTTTATTTTTAATGCAAAATTGATAAAAAAAATCTGTTAAAAAAATATAAAAATTTGTATAATACTTGAAATGATTGTATAATCATTTTTTTATTATTACTATAATCATTTTTATTAATTATTCTAACATTGAAATTCTAATATTTTCTAAACCTAATATACTTATGACTTTATATTTATTTAAATGCATAATTTACACTTTTTTATTAATAATATTATTTAATAATAAAAAATTTTAAATTATATAAGAATTATAAATTAATTCTCTTATTAATATTTTAAAACATTAATTAAAGGTGATTTAAAAGCTAACTATAAATTATAACTTAAAATATAATTTATTTTAAATAAAAGTTGATTAAAAATTAATTTAAAATTCAGTTATTATTATATCATAAACAACGAAAGTAAAAAACTAATTAGAAAAACCAAATAAAATAAATTTTATTTAAACCTCATGAACAAATTTGTTAAGATATTCAATTAATGCTCAATATGATTTAAAACTTAATATAATTTATAACTAAAAAATATAAATTAATTTAATGAAAATAATAAAAAAAATAAATTTAAAATTAGAATAATTTTTTATTATTAACTAGAAAAATGAATTAAATTTGTTCAGAAAAAAAAAATTGTGGGTTTTTTGCTTGTTTATTGTTTAAGATGATTTATATACATACGAAACAATTCTTATGTATTTATATGTCTTAACCCTTAAGCTTCAATTTTAATACATGCAATCCTTTTTATGCATGAATGGTGTATTTTACTTTTTTTAAAGGAATTAAAATAGAGATATATTTTTATGTGACAAAATATTTTGGTGGTATAAATATAAGAAATATAGTGGAGGTGTTAGATATGTAAATACAAAAGAACTGGGTGAAGCTTTCTTGTTATGGGATGGAGATATTACAAATGAATCATAGAGGGTTCAATTAAAGGTTTATAAACCTGAAGCACTGAAGTGTTACAAACATGAATGTCAATCTTTAGGCGTAAGATATGTAAATGTATGCAAATTTCTTTAAAATGAACGGCCAGAAACATTATCATGAAAAATTAAAGCAATATATGCACTCTAATAATATTGTGGCTATAAATTAAGCATATTACTTGTTAATGAAATGAATTATAGAGCTTACTATGGCTAATGACCCATCAATCCCCGTGTAGGTTAGAAGTCAAGAAAAATCTCTACTTATTTCATTAGCAAATACGTATGTTTAAACTAAAATATCATGATACTTGGTTGTATATTGAGAGAATCTAGTAAAGGTAGTTGATTAGTAGTAGAAAGTGGCCACAAAATATGAAGTTACGGCTTAAGATTATCTCCATCTATAATAAAGAGAGAGGTTGGACATTAAATAGAAACGAGGGGTATGATATAATAACCCCTCAATTGACTACAACCATAATGAAAATTGGGATCAAAGCATATATTTTCAACACTCAAAGAACTAATATATGCTTATACGCAAAATAGCTTAGTCTTTAATAGATTGCAATCTCATTTCATCTAATTCTAGAATAGGTTTTTTCCTTTTTTTTTATTCAAATATTTTAATAGGTAAAATTAAGAGGTAATTTATATCACAAGAATATCCATTTGAACAAGTTTAGAATTTGAGAGAGTATAGAAGTCAAAGTAGTATTTGAATTAAAAGCTTCAACTTGGACTTTGGTCCATTGGAACTCCATGTTCAACAAATTTATAGTCAATATTTACATTTCAACGAGATGAATTTAAAGCATCTAAAATATCCCAATTCCAATATTTTTAAGACATTCAATTATTAGGAAAGAACCAAATGATCACGAGGAGTCATTCTAAACCCCCTAGTGAAGTATTTGCAATTTTGCCAAAATAATCAGACCATCATATCAAAAACTTATATAAAAGCTTTCAATCCACACAAATGGATTTTATGTTGACTGAGGTCAAATCCCTGTTAATATATACTAATAATCATCATAAAAAAACTGTTGTTGTCCGACCAACACTTTATTCCATTGTTATCGTCAATACTACATTACCTGGTCATCATTGCCTTAAAAATGTAGCCTGAGAATCACCGTCGAATCAACGCCATTCAATAGCTACCACCAAACTAGGGGTGTAAACGAGCCGAACACGGGCGAGCCATACTTAGCTTGTTTATATTTCAAGCTCAAAAAGTGTTTTCGTGTTCGGCTCGTTTTCGTAACTTTGTAAAGGGAGCCGAACACGAGCTGTTCACGAACAAAAAATCCTTTTAACAACCCTAAGATGTTGCCATAAGACAATAAGAGTTTGAACAAGATTTAAAAATTATTATTTATATTACAACATCATTTGAATCTAATTTAAAAATTTTTATTCTATTTTCTTAATATTTTAATTGATTATAAATCTTTGTAGCCTTGTAGTCAATTAGATTTTATTCTACATATATATATATA